ACGTACGTACGTACGTACGTACGTACGTACGTACGTACGTAGTAGTAGTAGTAGAGAGAGAGAGAGAGAGAGAGAGAGAGAGAGAGTAATTGCAGAGGGTGCACCGCTCTGATATGGTGGAGAGAGAGAGTTGAGATCCCTTCGCTGTTTAGATGTGGATTGAAGAGAGAAATGGAGAAGGTTTCGTGCATGAGATGGGAAGCCGAGAGAAAGTTAAAAAAAAAAAAATTGTTGTGGATATTCGGCCTTTCATTTAAGCCGCTGAGAAAATAAATGAAAATATATTTGGTGGGAATTTGGTTCTCGAGATTCCGGCATTTGGATTTTCCTCAACTTACTGGTAATACTGTAGCCTACAGTAATACTAATACATGTACGGACCCGGTTTCTATAAGGCGAAGCCTTTATATGTAGAAAATAAATCTATTTTGTAGATAGATTTTAAGACTTAATTTGATATGTAATATCTAATCATAAATATGAAAAAAATAAATAAATTTTTAAAACTAAAAATCATAATTCTCGTAAGAAAATATTTGGACCATTAGGCTCCATTATTTTTAGATCGAACACCTGCTTGCATACATCTTTAAGATAGGTACTTTACACTTTTTGGACCGCATATGTAGAAATGTTGTCTAGCTTGCATGAAACAATTTGCCTACATGTAATGGCGAATAAGTCGGTTAACAGTTAAAACTGAAAATTTACAACTTGAAAAAGCCGGGAACTGTATATGTGGTGGTGCATGAACCTGTTCACCATCCCCTAAGGATGAATTTTATGAGAAATTTATATGATGAGATTATTTATTTTTATCTAAGAAGGCAACCATTGTCAACCGGTGGATGTAAAATTTGATGGATAGTAACGTGTCACTAATTGAGCTCAAAGTCCAAAAACAATTCTATGAAAAGGGACCAAAGGATTGAGAAATCGAGAATGGTCTTGGGTTGGGAAGGTAAAAAGTTCAAAACAAATAAAGTAGGTCCGACAAGCCTTCATCAATTATCTACGAAAAGATGTTGGATACTAACCTAAGAGCAAGGGTGATCCGAAGGCAACTTAAATTAAGGACTCCCTACCACCTAGGGAGCAGGCAAGATTGTCACATTACCAAATGAATGTGAAGGAGCCTTTACTTGATCCTAGGGCAACATGCCACATGCATATACTACTAGCAAAAGGAAAAAGTTTATATAGAGCCAAGGCTCTAAACAATCAAATTTGAGCTTACCTAAAAAATTTTACTAGAAGAGGTTGTTTTGATGCCCAAATATCTTCAAATTGATCATCTTGACATCACGATGTATGGACATGAGAAAAAAATAAATTCCAAGTTTTAGAAATAGTGTATTTTGTAACGCATTTTTGGACTGTCAATTTTCAAGATTTTCAAGTTTTCATAGATCTTTCGATCTACACTATTTTTGAAGCTTTAAACTTTATAAATAAACATAAAAATATATTTTAAGGGTATAACAAATATTTTCAGTATTGAAACTACATTTCTCAACACCATTTGAAGGTAGGCTCTAATTTGATTGTTTAGAGCCTAGGTTCTATACAAACCGCACCCTTAGCAAAAAAAAGTAAAAAAATCGTTAGGCTCAACATCCTAAATGAACTCTGTGTAGCAGGGAAAACAAGAGAAATAAAAAATTAAAAATTTCACCCAATAAATATCCGAAAGGGACACTAGGCCAAAAAGAAAGAAAGAGAGATAAAAAGATAATAAAAGAAAAAAAAATAAAATAAAATAGGTGTCTCTCTCTGCACTTCTTGCTCTTTACAATCTCTCTTTCATCTAAGATATACTCTCACTCTCTTCTCCAAATCGGCCTAGTGCAAAGCTATCAAGAGGCATTTAGCCCAAGGGGTCATGAGACGGATTTTCTGTATGCAAATACGAAAGACCTCAACCATGTAGACTTCAAAGTTAATAGCGGATGAACAAAATTGGAAGTCTAAAAAGATCATCCCAAATACTAAGGCACTTTCTAATATTTTTCAATGTATGGTTTATTTGAAACCCCGAGGAACATTTCTTTTGGATTTCAACATGATGAATGGGATCTTAAAATAAGAAATTACTTAATGATTCCCCGTCCCAAGATCCCAGCTCTTGCTTGCTCAACTCATGAAAATCAATTAATAAAATCAAAAGGGCAAGATAAGGAGCAAATTGTTTTTCCTAAATTTAACTTTAGAATTAGGCCTTGGATAGATAAAAAAGGTTCCCAAATATATAAAAAGAAAAGTAAAATAAAAATAATTTTTTTAAAAAAATATCCACCAAATTTAGCATAAGTGGTTTTACAAAACATTACCAAACCCTTCTAAAAAATACATCAAAACACTCATTTTTCACAAATTTTAAAAAATAAAGTTTTCATAATTTTCAATGTCAATTTTAAGTTCCAAACCATTTCGGAATCCTCCGAATGCTTGAACAAAAGTCAATCAAAAATGAATCGTGGAGAGAGAGGTATAGGAAAACCAAAGAAAAATATTTCCTAGATCATCCCAGATAAATCCCCCCCTTAGCTTATAACTATAGAAAGCTATAAAAACCATGGGTATAATGGAAAGTTAATTAGCCTTTTTTTTTTTTCCATACCATCTAAAACTATTTTTTAAACTTTTTAATTCAAGTAAAAGACGTGGGCTAAAGTGAATCGGCAATGGCTAACCATCACCTCTAAACATGGGCAATTTAAGGGTCAGGTGAATCAGCAATGGTTTACCATCACCTCAAAGTGTTGGCAGTTAAAAGCCTCAATAACTAAACTCCTAATTTAGGGGATTTTTTCTTGTCTATAGGCCACTTCTGGATTATTCCATTGACCTTTTGGCACACGAAACCCTAATCCCAGACCCTATGTCACAGTCCAGTAAAACATTAGAAAAACTAAACTCATCCAAAGCTAGAAGAAAACATCCTTCTAGCCTTAGAGCCCTATCCTAATATTCCTAGGCATCACTCTTCTTAAAGTCCAAGAAGACTTCCAGATCAACAATTCACCCTTCCTGTCTAATCCAAACCCCAACTCTGGGTGTCGGGCCCAAGGGCCTTGCTTCCTATGTATTGTTCTTTCCCATTGTTTATCTTCTACATTTTTTTTTTTTATCATTTGCTTCGGGGTAATAATAATTTTGTGTGTGAATGCTTAGGCTTTGAGCACATCACCCCAATTAATTTTGGTTTTTTTTTTTTTTTTATTATTCATTATTTGCCCAAATACCCTTCAAAACAACATAATCATAGCTAGAAGTTAACGTTTGGATCTTCGATGCGTCATGAAGAACATTGTGTATCATTTAGGTGCTGCAAATACAAAACAATTGAGGAATTTTCTTTGTAATAAAAAAAAAGGGAATTGGTTGAAGAACATTGTGTATCATTTAGGTGCTGCAAATACAAAACAATTGAGGAATTTTCTTTGTAATAAAAAAAAAGGGAATTGGTTTTTGGAGGTGGGCATTCCTCTTATTTTGAAAGATAATTCTTTGGGAAATACATCATGCATCTTGATTTGAAAGGAGAAAATGCACACATAAAGTTTATCTTTTATTAGTTTCACCATTCAACGCTCCTATTAAAAAATGCAAGTTATATTGTTTGGGCTTTTTAGGTGGGATAAATTTAAGGCTTTGAATCCTTGATCTCCCTCACCCAAAGTACTTTGCCTTTCACTACATAAGTCTAGTTTAGCCGGTTTAACGTTTTTGAGACAAACTTCAATGGTGAATGATACCATTATATCTAACAATTAGTGGATGACATTTTCCATTTGTTCTTAATAAAATTTTGTACTCTTGTCAAAAAAAAAAAAAAAAAAAGAAGCTTAAGCGGACTTATTCAATGCTCATATTCTTCGTTAAATTAAGTAGCGGAAGGGCGTCATTGAAAAATGAATTTAACTCGCGCCTTTATTCTAATGTGGAATGAAGGCAAAATAAACTTTATAAATGATTCTGTCAATGGATTTATTGTTATTATTATTGGGCAGTTCAACTATAGGAATCGAACTTGAGATGCAATACTATTGATCGTCAGTTGCTAACCGTTCGAGCCCAAACTCGATTTCTAAAAGGATTAACCAACTTCATTTGATTTTATTGGGACAAACTTCAAGGATTTGAATCCCTGACCCAAACTTATATGTCTACCTCTAAGCCAAAGCATTAAGGATGGCAAATAAATGTTATGAATAACAAATTAAATATCGTATGTAAAGGCATCATAAAATGAAATTTGACATCCAAAACATCCTCAATATGAAAAGTATATAATATTTTTTGGACAATGAGATGGTTTTGACTTGCAAAAATACTCTCAATTGCCAATCTTAACACGTTTAGTGGAAGTATGGATATCTTAACTATAATAATTAATAGCCATTATCTGGAAATAGCTATCGCGTGTTTTTTCTCATACAAAACCTCACAATAAAGGGAGTAAGAAGCATTAGCTAATATAAGTTAGGGTGCGGATTGTATAGGGCCGAGGCTCCAAACAATCAAAGCAAAGGGCACCTTCAAATAGTATCGAGAAATGTAGTTTTCATACTGAAATCTTTGTGATAGCTTTAAAATTTATTTTTATCTCTAATTATAAAATTTAAAGCTTAAAAAATAGTGTAGATTGAGCGAATCTATGAAAACTTGAAATTGATGGTCCAAAAATATATTACAAAATACATTATTTTCAAAACTTGAAATCCATTTTTTTTCTCATGCCCATGCATTATGAGGTCGAGATGGTCAATTTGAGGATTTTTTTCTAGTGAAATTTTTGAGGTGCACCTTAATTTGATTTTTTAGAGCCTCGCACTTAAATAAACTTTTTCCATTAAGTAAGGAATAAGGTTAAGACACATGATATTGAAATAAATGAGGACGTTATAGTGATAGAGAAGATATGGTAAGG